GACTATAGTTCTTCCATTGGATTTTTTGGCCCACTGAATTCTCCCCATCAGTCTGTCAACAAGCATTTTAAAAGCAATTTCTATGTGACAAGGACTATTGGAGATACAAAGAAAGGGGAAAAAACCCCCACTTCCTTGCCTCAGTTTACTCAGTTTATGCAGCCACATTCCATTATAAGTGTCCTTTGAAAAGAAAGGACCATCCTATTACATGACAGCACAATTTCCACTGCTGCTTAAAAATACCCCAAAACTCACTCACTAGCTGTGTGACCCTGGGCAAGTCACTTAACCCCGATTGCATAAGCAAAAAAAAAAAATACCCCAAAACAATGGGGCTTTAAAAAAAAATTAGTGAGATTACAAGTTATCTACTAGGTACTTTATGAGCCCAGCATAAAGGTAAGAATTACGTTCAGATACTAATAAGCAAACAGGGAAATAATAGTTCAGCCATAATGTTATTGCCATTATTCAAAGAAGGAAAAGTAGTTTCTTCCCATTTCTGTGACCTTGATTGTTCTGGTCTAGGCCCAAATGGATTAAATTTGCAACTGAATCTCTGGGAATATTCTGGGCTGTTACAGGATGTGCAAGACAGTGCCTTTGTCTTGCTTTTTGTTTTTTTCTTTTTCCACTAGAAAGAATGGATGGTCCTGAGGATGTGGTACCCTGCTAAGCCAGCCCTTTTTCTGGGGCATAAATCATATTCTCCCCCACTGCAAATGCTTCTGTTCTCAGGACTGACTGTCTTGGTGAGCACTGGCAACCGGAGTTTGGTGCTGAATGCCATGGGTTTACTTTTCGAGCTGGCTGGTAACTTCCTGCACTAGAGAAATCTGCTCTTCAGTTCCAAACAAAAGCCTCTGGCATGTGAAGTGACTGTCCAGCTAGGAAATTAAACCCACACATGTTAAATAACTTGTTCAAGGTCACACACAACTAGTAAGTATGTGAGAGGAGTTCAAACACCAAAGTTCCTTGACCAAAGTTAAGTTGATCTTTTTATTTATACAAAAAGATAATAAAAATGTATATTCTGAGCAAAAAAAAAAACCTCTCCAGCATCAATTGAATATATACAGTTATCCCTTCCACATCTCAGGGTTTAGGGGAATGGCATCCCTGCGACCTGGAAAATCTATGTCAAGTTTTTGGTCCTTTCTTCATACCAGGTTAGTCTGAATTATTATGGTATTAAAAGAAATGTGTTACTATCATATAACACTATACGTATATTCCATGGATTCCTGAGTTTCTAAACTTTTTCTGTGTTGTCTGCTGGCATTCACGTATTGTCTTCAGCAAAACTCCCCGCAAAATAGCCATTTAATTTCTCATACTGAGATATATAGAAAATCACAATGTGGAAGAAGGGATAACTGTGTGTGTGTATATATATATATAGTGTGTATATGTAGGTATGTATATATGTATATGTGCATACAAATATATATATATATATATAAAACCTATGATACATATATATCTATTTATATGCATGTATACATATAGATATCAGTATGTGCTATGGCACATAAAATGCCAATAACAGGGAAACTGAGGCACATTTCTTTGAGCAAGACAACAGTTTATTAACAGTGACCTGTATAACTGTTAACAAAGTGGGTCAGACTAGCCCCCTCAGTCAGGTCAACAATCCCTGATGAGAAGGAAAAAAAAACCCTCTTTATTGAGATGTGGGAAAGGAAGAGATCTGGTTGGTTTGAGAATATCATAATTGGCTATGGCTGGGAAAGGTGGGTTGGCCTTCAAGTGTGGAGGATCACACTTTTTGACAATTAAGGAATGTTCATTGCTTTATGGGTCTCAACTACCTCTAGGAATCTTGATTAGAAAACCAGAACCACTCCAATTAGGACGACACAATTAGTCTTCCCTCGGGAGAAATCAAACCACCCTTAACTTTACAAGGAGAGACAAAGATAGAAGAACTGTCTTCTTGGGTTGGGACTCAGCTTAAACTGGTTTCTGTTTACAGGAAACAAAACAGAGGTCCCAGGTTAAACTGATTAGCAAGCAAATGTCCTGTGTTGGGTGGGAGGATTGGGGGGGGCGGGAGGTGAGGCTAGAAGTGATAGCATCATTCTCTCTCAACCATGCCTTTAATCCAATTTGGAATGGAGAGACCCCATTTTTCAACTTAACTGAGAATGGGGAATAGGGTCAATTACTTAGTAGAATCAATTATTAAACCATACAGCAAAATTCTAACTTCCTCAATGTGTATGTGTATTATACACATATGTACACATATATACACATACATATATGTATATGGCTATTTTGTAGGTTGATGTGGCCAAAAAATTCACCATCAAGTGGCTATTTTGCTAGTTATGGCCTCTTTTTTTTCACTTACCTATGATGACATAGTGGAAACAGCATTGACCTGGGTTCAAATCCTGCCTTTGTTTTTTATGACCCGTGGGACCATAGGCAAGTCACTTAAGTTCCCTGGGCCTCCGTTTCCTCATCATTAAAATGAGGGGATTGGCCTAGGTAGCTTATGGGGTCTCTTCCAGCTCTATGACTTATCATCCTCAGAAAGCAGATGTTATATCTGGGACAGTCCATGACGCCCTTCCAGTATGATAAAGCTGGCCACACTTTACTGTACTCGGCCTCAGTTTAGAGAATTTAGGTCAACTCCATGCCAGGATGAAGTATAAGAGCAGGATCTGGGGAAGTATATACCTGCATTTGGAGGGAAAGCAGCATTTGTTACTGACTAGGGCAGATCGATAGTCAAGACTCATCTCTAGTAACTTTCAGTCTTTATTCCAGAGATGATTTACATTTAACAGGAACGGCAATTGCAAGAGAGTAGAAAAGAACTGAATGAAATTTTAGAACCCTAAATTGAGTAACTCACTGACTTTAGGGAGTGAAAGCTCAGGGAAAATCAAAGGATTTAACTTAAAAGAGAGTTAAGCCTGAGGATTTCTGCTGGTGGGATGTTCAGCTATGGTGTTTAATATCACAAAATTAGGAGCTAATCCTTCAGGCTGCCTGCTAAAAGGGTTGAGACAGTCTTCTGGGATAGAAAAGGCCATATAGTAGCTACAGTTCTGTGGAAGACCAGCGAACGGCAGCAGAGAGCCTGGCAATTCAGTCTGATGACATCATGTGATAAGCAGTTATCATCACCACCTCTTGACAAGCAGCAGCAATGACTAAGTCTGTCCTTATCTTGTGAGTCAGTACACCAGTCAATGTGCATTTATTATGCTTCCTATGTGCCAAGCCCTGGAGATACAAAGAAAAAGAAAAAATGAAAACCTTTCCTTCCAGGAGCATCCATTCTAATGGGGGAGACAACATGTAAATAACAAGATACATACAAGGTATATACAGGGCAGATGGAATGCACTCTGAAAAGGGAAGGCATTTGCACTTGAGAACATAAGGAAAGGCTTCCTCAAGAAGGTGGGATTTGAACCGAGTCTGATGGAAGCCAGAGAAACCATGAGGCCTCAGAGGCGAGGAGGAAGAACATTCCAGGTATGGGGACAGTCAGCGCAAACCATAGAGACGGGAGACAGAGAGTCATATTTGGGGAACTACCCGTAGGCCAGCATAGCTGGCTTGTAGAGTTTGTGGAGGAAGAGTGGGAGAGAAAGTGCAAGAAGGCTGGAAATGTAAGGAGAGCCAAGTTACAAAGAATTTTAGATGCCAGAGGGCTTTGTATTTGGTCTGAGGGGTGACAGAGGCATGAGACCGAGTGCTAGGAACATGAGTTGGTCTGGCTGTCTGTACACACTACGTTTTCTCCTCTCCCACTGGGTTCCCTAGCCAAAGACGTACTTTTCGTTGCCATTTACTTTCTCTACTGGTTAATTCGTTACCTTTTGAACTAATGTGACTTCTCATTGGGCTAGTAAAAGGAACATCAATCAGTCTGAGTCCATCGACTATGATTTTAAGTGGAGGCTGACACAAAATATAACTTGAACCTGAGGCATCTTTTTGGGACATGTGTATGGGAATATGGGGGAGGCCCCAGGTTACATGCAGACATAAACATATACATATAGATATAAATACAGATACACTCACACATATGCATAGATGCAAATGAAGTGTTCCAAAAATTATTCTCTAAACTGTTACCCCCCAAAAATTGTTGTTATTCAGTTGTGTCCAACTCTTTGTGACCCTATGTGGAGTTTTCTTGGCAAAGACACTGGAGTGGTTTGCTATTTCCTATCCAATTCATTTTACAGATGAGGAAACTGAGGCAAACATAATTAAGTGACTTGCCCAGGGTGACATGACTAGTAAGTGTCTAAGACCAGATTTGAACTCAGGAAGATGAGTCTTCTTGATTCTAAGCCAAGTACTCTATCCACTGCTTCACTGAGCTTCAGGGGAGACTGGCATAGGACTGACCAGCATGGTGTGCCCACATCAAAGAAGGTGCTGTACTCTGCGTGCAAAGCAGAATTTCAGCAGCTCAAAAGAAATGTGATATGTGTAAGTTTAGAGACATCTCCACTCCAAATGTTCATACGGACTATTTGTGCCCAACCTGTGGTAGAGCCTTCTGAGCTCATCCTGGCCTGATCAGCCATAGTCCGACATACTGTACCTTGACTCCAACACAGTGGTGTCATTTTGGTCCTCTTTGAGAATGAAGGACAACCACTAATTAGTCTCCTAATTCTTATTCCATTAAAAGGGTAGTAATCTCTGAACCATGCCCTACATTTTACCTTGTTCTGAACAACTAACTCTTCTTTTTTTTCCCCCCATCTTGTTCACCTATTTTAATTCCAGGGGAATGCTGACAGTGACTGCTATAGTATTTCAACCCAAGATATTAAATCCTGACAGCATGAAATAGTGTCTCAATCATTTAGTGCTGGACAATATCTGAATTATAATAAGGCCTTCCTCTGTCATACTGAGTACCACAAACTTTGCTACAAACTTTTACAAATAGTAGGCTCTCAAAAACAATTTGATGAACAAACGAATGAATGAATCAATGAGTAGTACTATTTATTAGGAGCTTGGGATGGTATGGAGCTAAGAGAAGAGGAAAAAATAATTGTACATGAGAGGCTGCAACAAGATGGTGCCTATAATTCTACAGGGGAATTTAGGAACATTAGGAAGTAGCCTCAGAACTGATGTTGGTCTTTGGTTTAAGGACATGACTCTGAGTATTGAGCACCATAACTTGAAAGAATTGCTGAGTGCATTCTGGGAGTCAGTCTGGTTTTCTGAGTAACTTCCCGTAGCATTTGTAAGTGACTGGGTCAGTGAGGGCCAAGGCAAATACAGAGCTGGGAAGCCCAGGTTGTATACTTGGACTGGGTATGAAACAGAAGTGAAGGGAGGTGATCTGGTCAAGTCTCTCCATGCCCCATACAGCACGGACCAGTAGGATACAAGCAGCAGTGAGGATGCAAAATCAGATTCTGCCTCTTACAGCATAAATGAAGTGTGGAATTCTGTACTGCCCTTCGTTTGTGCTCAGGAAGAGTTTGTTGAGGGGCAAGGAGAAACTTATGACACTGGATTTTGGTTCATGTAGTTCAGTGCTTTGGCTACCCCTCTATTTAGCTGCCTGAGTTTACCAAACCAACCCTCCAGACAATTTTCTGATATAATTACAGCACAGCCAAAAAAAAAAAGTTTAACATATATTCAGCACATAAAACAAAAAGTAGCACTCCATGGAATATAAATGCATTTGAAAAAAAACCCCTTTAATGGAAATGCCTTTTAGGAAGCTCTATTTTAATTACATGACTAAACATTTTTCTGAACTGGTCAACTCTTTTATTTATATATATATATATGTATGTATGTATGTGTATATATATATATTATATATACACACACACATATACATATATATATCTCACTAAACACTACCAACAAAGAGAAAGGCATTATCTTGAACATATTCCTCACGTGTCATGTTCCCCTCTTAGAAGATGCACTACTGAATATCAGTCACAGACTGAGCCCTTTACAAAGCACTGGAGAAGTTAATTCGTAGTATGGAGGGTTCACAATTAAGAACTGGCCAGTTAAATACCACGTACACTTTTAGCTGCCACTAGAATATTAATGTATAAGAACAAACAACTTAGATGTGAAATGGCCTAGCTTCTTATGAAACATTTAAGTAGGAAGGACTTGTGATTCTTTAATATTATCTTCAGAGAGTCCGTGGATGTATTTGATATCACAAAAAGGTCCATACCGTCCATAAATATCTTTTGCTTGTAGAGTAAAATAATATGTGCCAGAAGACAAGAACTGAGATAAAGAACATGCCATCGGGAGAGGTAAAGCTTTAATTTCTCCGATTTTCTTCCAAGTTGTTTTGCTCTTGCTAGTGTTACCGTGGCATACGTAAAGGTGATAGCTTTCAACAGGGGCACACCTGGGATTAATATGAGAAGTGTTCCAAGTCAATGCTATGCCTTTTGGCTTAAGTACCCGTTTTAGTCTTAGCTCAAACTTCTGGGGAGGAAGAGAGTCGTTGGACCCTGTGAGAACAGGGTGCTGGTGTGGCTCTGGTAGTGAAGGAAGGTGCTCAAATGATTCCACGACCTAAAAATATATATAAAAAGGTTAAGTTGTATTTGGTGGGGGAGAAGTAATATAAATAAGAAACTTGTGAATGAGTACACAAAATTTTAAAAATTTCATTTTCCTACTGAAATTCATCATAAAAAAAGTAAATACAAACATATTCCATGGGGACAGGTGCAAGGGAAAATGGAAATTATTTACTGAACTGACTGTAAAGCTTATAGGACCGACTGTGATAATCTACTCAAATAGAAACATCTGTCTTCCACACATAACTCCCTAATGGGCAGCCTTAGAAAGAATTATTTCTGTATCAGAGGCAAGCAAAGTCCACCACTGGGCAAGAAGAATTTTCATTTCCTTTATTTTGTATAAGCAGTAACAGAGGGCTGAATAGCATAAAAGGTTTGCAATTATGTATAAGAGTGCTCTAGAGTTATACAATGAAAAGTCTGTTTCCCCCTTTACTATAAAACTTTTCAATATAATACACCAAGCATCGGTTTCACATCTCACTTGGACATACACCCAAGTTATACTACTATCTACCTGTTGCTGCATCCTTGCTCCTCCCCATTCCAGATCAGCAGCCTATAACAGACTGGTCCTAAGACCTGGCTCTTCATCATAAGTGGCTCCTTCAGAAAATCCAGGTCTCAGTCCATTCAACTTTGGAGTTCCTGCCATAGTGCCTAACTCAGACGACTGGTAACAAACTAGCCACTGACTGGTACTAGACATCCAGCTACCTACCTAGGGCATCCTACCATCTATCTGCCTATGGCCACGTACTTTAACCCCCATCCACTTTCCAGCTCCCCAAAACAAAAACGCTCTTCTCTTGCCACCACTCTCCTACATGTGTTGTCTTTCTTGATGAGGATGTGGGCTCTCTGAGGCAGAAACTCTTTAAAAAATATTTATTTAGTATTTGGTTTCTCCCTAATTACATATAAAAATAATTTTAAACATTTGTTTTTCTTTAAATTTTGAGTTCCAAATTCCCCCTTTCTCCAGTCCCCTCTCATTGAAGAAGGCAAAAAACTTGATATAGGCTATACATACATGTGCAGTCATGCAAAACATTCTACCGTATTAGTCATATTGTGAAAGAAAAGAGAGACAAAACACCCCAAGAAAAATAAAGTAAGCAAGCAGAAAGCTGGAAAGCCATTTTTACACCCCGTGTCTCTGATGAAGGCCTCATTTCTAAAATATATAGAGAACTGAGTCAAATTTGTAAGAATATAAGTCATTCTCCAATTAATAAATGCTTAAAGGACGTAAACAGGCAGCTTACAGATGAAGAAATCAAAGCTATCTATGGTCAGATGAAAAAAAAATGCTCTAAATCACTACTGATGAAGAAATGCAAATTAAAAAAACTCTGAGGTATCACCTCACACCTATCATATTTGCTGATATGACAAAATATGACAAAAAGGAAAATGACAAATGTTGGAGGAGATGTGAGAAAATTGGGACAGTAATTCACTGTTGATGGAGTTGTGAACTCCAACCAGCTGTGACCCAACCATTCTGGAGAGCCATTTGGAACTAGACCCAAAGGGCTAGAAAACTGTGGATACATTGCTAGGTCTATAAACCAAATACATTTTAAAAAAAAAAAGGACTGTATTTACAAAAATATTTATAGAAGTTCTTTTCTGTGGTGGCAAAGAATTGGAAATTATGGGGATGTCCATCAACTGGGGAATGGCTGAACAAGTTCTGCTATGTGATTGTGATGGAATGCTATTGTGCTATAAGAAATGATGAACAGGCAGATTTCCAAAAAACCTGGACTTACATGAACTGATGTAAATCAAAGTAAGCAGAACCAGGGGAGCACTGCACACAGTAAGAGCAATAATAGACAGTGGTCAACTGTGAATGACTTAGCTATTCTACAGTGATCTAAGACAATTCTGAAGGACTCATGAGGGAAACTACTATCTACCTCCAGAGCTAGAACTCATGGAGTCTGAATGCAGATCAAAGCATACTTTTTAAAATTTATTTTTCTTGTGCTTTTTTGTTTTTGTCTTTTCTTCACAACATGATTAATACGGAAATATGTTTTGCATCACTACACATGTATAACTTACATCAAACTGCTTGCCATCTTAGGAAGAGGGGAGGAAAGGGAAAGAGGGAGAGAATTTAGAACTCAAAATTTTAAAAAATGAAATGCTAAATTTTTTTTATATGTAATTGGAAAAAAATTTCAAGTGCTACTATGAATATGTTAGTATAGGGGCCTTTCTATTTGACTTCCTTGCAGTACAGTGTATGTCTAACAATAAGATCTTAGTCAAAGGCTGAAGATATTTTCTGTCACTTTAAATGCATAATTCCAAATTTCTTTCCAGATTGGTTGGACCAATTTACAGTTGCACTAACAGTGCATTTATGTGCCTATCTTTCTACAGGTTCAACAATCACTATTTCTATGTTTTGTCATCGTTGTAATTTGTTGGGAATAAGGTGTTTTGATATGCATTTCTCTTACTACTTGTGACTTGCAATACTTCCATATGGTTGGGTTTTTTCAGGCTTAAAAACTTTTATTTTAAGTATTGTGCATTCCCGTTCCAATAATTTAAATCATTTTAATAAAAATGGCACGCTTATTAACTGCATTTTAACATTAACGCGCTTGCCAGAATCTGGGTATAGGTTCTTATTGTGTTCTGTTAACTAGAGTTACTACCCAGGTTTCTCTAACCAAAATGCAAGTTTGTTTCTTGACATCAGTACCAAAACTAGCCAGCCAGACAGATGAAAAAGCAGCAAAGCATGGCCCATATTCAGTGTCCGCATTCTTTTTTTCTTTTGATATTGAAAGGGACAGCACAGTAAAGTAAATTTTATCCCAGCTCTTTGCATTTTAAAAAGTTAAACAGCTAAATGAAGTAAATTAAGAAAGGCTTGTGGAATGCACAAGTGTGTACTGGCAGAGCAGACTTCATTATAATTTACCTATTTGTTTTTCCTATTCAATTCTTTCTTTCTTTTTGAAAACAGTGGTTTAGTTTTTTTTTCCTTGTGCCCTTAAGTGTAGGTGAGACCATGTCTTCTCCTATCCAATACACTCCAGTGGATCCCTGTTATCTCCAGGATCAAAAGCTTTTAAAGCCCTTTATAACCAGGCCCCTTCCTACCTTTCCAGTCTTCTCACACTTTAATTCCCCCTCCCCATACCGTGACAGTGGAATGATTTTGTTTGTGCAAAAGTTTTTCAATTTCACCAATGACTTCTTAACTGCTAGATCCAACCACATGTTTTTCGATTCTCACCCTCTCCGACTTCTTTGCAGATTCTCAGCCTGTTAATCACCCCTTCTCTACCAGATATTTTCTTCTCCCTTCCTTTAGAGACACTACACTTGGTTCTTTTACTTGTCTTTCTCCTTCACTGGCTTCTCTTGCCAGCCTCTTAATGGGGGTATTTTTCAAAGATTTATCTTTGGCTCTTTTCTATATGTTCATCTTCTTGGCAAGCTCACTGATTCCTCTAGCTCTAATCATCACTCTCCTAAAGTAGATGACTTCCAAATCTCTTTCCTCAACCCTGATTTCACTCTCTTCTGAGCTTTAAGAATTGCATCTCCATCTGGATGTTGCACCAGTGCCCCCAATTCAAGATGCCCACAGCTGAACTTTTTCTCTTTCCCAGTGCTAGAACAGTATCTCTGACGCATAATAGGATGGAATTAAGGAAATATTCTTCCTTGTAACAGAATTTTTCAGTCATTGGCCATATTCTCTCCTCAATTAGAAACAATGGGAGTCCCTTTGTACTTTCTTCTCAGCTCTCATATCCAATCAGCTGCCACATTACATAATTTTTCTCACGTCTGTTCTCTTTTCTTCATTCACACTGACAGCACTCCAATAAGGTCCTAAGCAATGGTCTAGACTACTACAATGGCCTTCTATACATAATTTTTCTCACGTCTGTTCTCTTTTCTTCATTCACACTGACAGCACTCCAATAAGGTCCTAAGCAATGGTCTAGACTACTACAATGGCCTTCTAATAAGTAATCTATTCTCTGCCCCCTATATTCCATGCCAGAAGAATCTTCCTTACATATAGAGCTAGGAACATCTCCCTACTCAAAGATTAAAGATTTGTGGCTTCTTAAGCCTTACAGAGGTAATGTTCAAAATCCTTTGACTGGTATCCCAAACCTTCCATATCTGGTACCATTCTACCTTCCTGTCTTATTTTATTCTCTTCCATACACTTCATATTCCAGCCAAACTCCTGATTCCAAATTCCTGTCTTTGCTTTTGATCCTCTGTACTTCTGCTCGTTTTCAAGCTTCATGCCTAGAATGTCCTCTCATCTCCTTCAATCCTGCTGGATTTCTATCACCCTTTAAAACCCAACTCAAATGTCACTTTCTCCAAAAGCCCTTCCTGATTCCCAAATTATAATGAGCTCTCCCTCTGCTCAATGTTTTGTAAATCTCTGGCATTATAATATAATACTGTAATTATTTGTGTTTTATCTCCTAGTAGATTTTAAAAACTCCATTAAGGCAGGGCCTGTATCTTAGCTAAAACTCTGTATCCTGGCCCAGTGACCAGCACAGTGTTTAGCACGCTAATAAATGATGAATGAACCAAAAAATGGTTACTGTGGTCCCTGTGACAGCTCTTAAATTTTAAGAGGTGCTCCCAGTGCTTAGCTATTCTTTCTTACTTTCCTCTGTGGCAACCATTCCTACTCAGTCCATAATCTTGCACCTTCTGAATTAGATTTTATATCTTTAACATTCTTGTTTCTTTGTGAAGCATGCAGCACTAATTCTGTACATGACTAATTACTCTACCGAATCTTCAAAATACATATCAAGTTTCTGTAATGACCAGATAATCTTTTAACAAGTACCTGTGTTGAATCTTGTACCAGTAAGTTCTTCTTCTTCAAGTTTTCATTGGTTGCCACAGGCAATTCCAGGACTTCCACTGAAGTTGCTAAAAATAATATAGTTTCAGTGGTATAATCAGATTTGTAGTAATTACCAACATAATAACCTCTATGAAGGCAAAGCTTCTATTGTACTAAATCTTTCATAAGCAGCTAAGTTGTATGCAAAAATTCAAGAACAAATAAAACAGAAAAAATTAAAAATTGTTCAAGATATGTTTCCTCTGGAAGAATTTTCCTTCAGCATGATCACATTTTCCCAATTAGAGTAGTCCTAGCATTTTCAGTGATTTTTTGTTAAGTGCCCAGCAGTGAGCTAGATTCATTACAGGATGATGACATCAAAATTTGTGACACTCAAGAAATTTCTAATAATGGGAAAACAAGCACTCAACACCAAAAATGAAAAATGGAATAAAACCATTTTTACAGGTCTGAGTTTCTCAGACAAAGCAAACCTTTGTAGAGTTAAGGTGTGTGAATATGTGTATGGCAGAGAGTTGCGAGGCGTACAAGTCCCTTCTTTGGTAAGAAGACTGGCCTTACCAAATGCGCTTATGCTGGGGAACAGAAAAGACTGAATGGATAGGCTGGAGCCAACTGATCAAAACCCATGAACGTAAGGAGTCTGAATATATTACAACAAGCAATCTTATGCAGAGGTATTAAATGACGAAGGGGGATATTTAATAAAATTAATCTGGCAATAATGTACAAACAAGTAGAGTAAAGGTCAGAAGACCAAACAGGAAATAACAAGAGGTGAATTGCTGACTACTTTTGATCTATATTCTCATGGAATTAGTTGAATGAACAAAAAGGCCTGAAAACATGATTAGGGAAAAAAAAAAGAATATTTAGCACTTAAAAATAAAGCAAGTACATTTAAATAAATGTGCTGAAAGAAAAAATAGCAGTAACAAAAGTATTCAAAATACATAAAATAAAACTTTTATAATTAAACTTGGAATACTAATGCTAACGCTCTGAACTCTTTAGACGTTGTATCACATGAGGTGGAAACAGTCTGACGATGAATGCCGACTGATGCTATGCTTCTGAGGTAGTTAGGTGGTGCGATGAATAGAGAGCGGGCCTTGGAGCCAGAAGCTCCATCCTTAGATACTGTCTTTGTGAGTTGGGCAAATCACTTAATCTCCCTCAGCCCTGGTTTCCTCACCTGTAACATGAGGAGAATAAAAGCATTGAGCTCACAAGGCTGTTGGGAGGATGAAATGAGATAATATTTGTAAAGTGCTTTGTAAAATGAATTATTTGCATTAAGAAGCATACAAATACTAGCTATTATTTAACTGTTCTTTCTGAGTAGGTTTTTCTTGAGTGATCTGCTCTTTAACTGTTCAATTTTTAAATACTGCTACTAAGTGCTGTCAGTGTTTCCATTAATGTGTTTTTAAATTCCACAAGCAGATAAATGATTCTTAAGTTTTTTGTTCTAGACTCCTTATACAGAGCAAAAAGCTTCATGGTTTACTAATTTTGTGGAGCACAGATGCTCCCAACAGCACCTAGTTGCTGACACCACCCTGCCTTTCACCTATCTGAGTGCAACACAACAAGTACAACGATAAGAAAAACCATGAAACCACAAGGGAACATGGCCGTGTTTCAGAAGAATGAATGTTCCAGGAACATATTATCGTATTCTTGTTTTCCTGCTAAGTTTTCTGGATAAGCTTAAGAACTCTCCAACTTTCTGGCCCAAGTGAGACTTAGAATTGAAGCTTCAACAACTTCTCCAGGAATGAGCTGAGGTTTCTAAAACCCCACCTAAGTAACAATTAAAAGAACAAATATCTCATCTTATGGAATGATTGGTGGACAAGCTCCTAGAAGAGAAGGGGAGGTGATAGGATCTGGCCCACAGGCATAGCTGCCAAAAATGCAAATGCAAAATTTGACTTTAGAGAAGCACAGTGTCCTGAATCAGGAAGGTCAAATTTCCCAGTGTACTCTGTCTTGCTCAAAGCAAATCTGAAGTATTGTCCTCTCTTCAGGAAGGACATTGACAAGCTGGAACAATACATCCTGCTATGAGAGTTAGCTGAAGGAACTGGGGGTGTTTTTCCTGAAGGAAAGACAACTTGAGGTGAACATGACAACTACATCTTCAAATGTATGAAGGGCTGTCATGTAGAAGAAGAATGACAACTGTTAGTCTAAGGAAAGAATGAGGAGCAACAGGTAAAAGTTGTATTTCAAACATCAATATAAACATTCCTCAGTCTTTCACCATTTCATTTATAAAAAAAAAAATTACTTCTTTTGTTTAAACCACAAGTAGTTGATGGACCTATTCTTGCTATAAGCATCTCAACATCTGCCTGCCAAGAGAAGAGGAAAGCTTTAAACACTATTAGAGATTAACAGCCACCACACATAAGAGAATTCACACCCTTGAATTTGGAATAGCACTCGGTTGTACCTTACTTAGGTACTTCTATGCTGTTTCGTACTATAGTTACTTTTGTACATATCTTATTCCCTCTACTTGACTTGAGCATCTTTGAGGAAAAGGACTGTCATGAATCATATTTATGACTACACCTAAAACAGTGCACTGCCCCAAAAAAGGCACAAAATAAATGGCTTTAAAAACTGAATTAAAGTTTTTTTTCCCCTTTATAGTCCTTTGACAATCACAGTTCCTATAATAGGGGAAGTAGCTAAGTAAATCAATATTAATTAGCTTCTTATAAATGTAACAGCTACATTACTATGTTAAAGGCATCTTAAAGAGCCAACTCTCTCCGTATATATATGTGTAATGTGTGTGTGTGTCTAAAATAAATAAAATTAACTTCTTACCTGTTTTACAATTTAAGTTGGCTTCTTCTGTCAGGTCAATCACGAAATGCTCAACTTTCGTTTTTTCTCCTGAAGCCTGAAAAGGATTAATTATATAATAAAGCTTTGTCACTATCAGGAAACCAAGTTACTGCATATTAGGAAATAAGCAATTATCAAAAAAAAATCTGTATCACAGCATTTAGTCTTTGTCCCTACTCTCTCCTTACCAGGTACTGAATTAGGCCCACCTCTGCTGACCATTACTCTTGTTGGTTGAAAATTAATTACAGGCTAAGAAAGTTTCAAGAAAAGAATTTATTAAGTCATCCAGCAGAGAGGGAATCTGAAATAGGTGGCCAACTCCCCTGAGACTTTATGGATGACACATTACGAAGGGTTTGAGTTCATATTATAGGGAAGACAGAGAAATGAAGCTGATTGGTCCTACATATTAACAAAAAAGTATTCTCTAAATAAGGCACATAATCTCTATGTGGAAGCAAGTCTTTCCACATTGCTGACTTTTCTAGTCTTTTGCTATGCAAGGTGAGGATATCAAAATAAAGTTATCCCCCTCACACATAAAGATAAGAAGGGAAGTGGTTGAGTCGGGAAGAAAAAAAACCTTTGCATCAAATTTTTCAGACAGGAATTTGGGATCCAATATATGTAAACAACTAACAGATGTATGTATGTATTTGTGTGCATATATGTTCACATATTGTGTATATATATATATGTGAGCGTATACATGTTTATACACATACACATAATATATATATATGTACACATAAGATAAATATATCCCAAAAGACAGTCCCCAATAAATAAGTGGTCAAAGGATATGAACAAATAGTTCTTCAAAGAACTGTAAATTATGGAACAACCATATGAAGGAATGTTCCAAAACAATGCTCAGATAAATGAAAATCAAAACAAACATAAGGTTTTCTCTCACAACCAGCAAATTGACAAAGATAACAAAATATGGAAGCAGTCAATGCTACAGGAGTTGTGGGAAGATAGGTACATCAATGTATTTTTGATGGAGCCACATGAATCAGTAAAACCATTTTTAAAAACAACTAAGAATTATGCAAATAAAGTGACTAGAAAAACCCATACCTTTTGACTCAGAGATTCAACGATCAAGGTCACTGTTAAGAAGAACATCCTCATATACACCAAAATATTTATAACAGCACTTTTTGTGACAGCAAAGAATTGGAAACAAAGTAGATACTGATCTATTGGGGAAAGACCAATTTAAAACTAAACAGATGTCCATCAACTGGGGAATGGCTAAACAAAATGATGCATGTGAATATAGTGGAATACTACTGTGCTATTAAGAAATGATGAATATGATGAATATGGATAATTGAAAATCATAGAAAGACTTAAATGAACTGATGTTTAGTGAAGAAGGCAGAACCAACAAAATAATATACACAATGATACAACAATGTAAATGGAAAGAACCACCAGAAAACAATTAAAAGTGAATGTTGCAAAACTATGAAGAACAAAGCATGACGCTAAAGAAGAGATGTGATAAGGCATTAACCACTCCACTCCACTCCACTCCACAGCATATCTGGGAAATTTATAAGATGTTACATCGCATATACTTTCATACTTTTTCAATGTGACTGATCAATTTTTCTTCTCATTTCTTAAAAAAATTCTTTGTTATATGTTTGGTGTAATTAAGACTAAAGGTATCAACAAAATTTATTTTAAAAAAGAAACTGAACATGGTGAAACTGTAATGATCAAGTATGACTACCACTTAAGATAATCAGTATCTGGGACTTGTATTTTCTGTTTTCAATCCTGACCACTTAGAATAGTGGTGTCAAAATCACATATAAACAGGGGCTACTAAATTGTATCTAAGCATCCCTGTGGGCACACATTGACTTGGAAAACCATATATTAACATTATTTATACTTTATTATGTTTTTAATTTCATTAAATATTTCCCAATCATATTTTAATCTGATTTGGGTTGCACTTGGGGTCTCAGGGATGCATATTTGATATCTCTATTGTAGACAACTTAAGAATGGAACTACCATATACATAATCACAAGATCTAAGGATTTTAAAGGGCCCTCAGAGGTCATTTAATTTCTCAGTGATAGTACCAATTAAATTGTGATTATAATTTGTTCCATAATGTTTAATTTGTTACTATGACCCTTCACATACTATATATAAGGATACATTTGTTATTTAGCATTTTTATAATTCTTAAGAGCCATCCTTCCTTTGTGAATATAAATGAACTGAAATCAGGGATACAGATGGGACATGAACCAATGTTTTCACTAATATAGGGAACTCTTTTAAAATTAATTTATTTTTAGTTTTCAACATTCACCTCCATAACCTTTTGAGGTCCCAATTTTCTCCCCCTCTCTCCCCTTCCCCCTTCCTAACATGGTGTGCAATCTGATATAGGCTCTACATATACATTCCTATTAAACATATTTTTACATTAGTCATGCCATGAAGAAGAATTAGAACTAATAGGAGGAACCACAAGAAAGAAGAAACAAAAGAGAAGAAAAAAAAGAGCAAATACTATGTTTCAATGTGCATCCAATTTCCACAGTTCCCTCTCTGCATGTGGATAGCACTTTCCACCATGAGTCCCATGGAGATGTTTTATATCCTTGTATTGCTGAGAAGGGCTAATTCTATCAAAGTTAGCCATTGTGCAATGTGGTTGTTACTGTGTACAATGTTCTCCTGGTTCTCCTTACTTCACTCAGCATCAGTCCATACAAGTCTTTCCAGGTTTTTCTGAAGTTTGCCTGCTCATCATTTCTTACAGCGCAATAGTATTCCATTACATTCATATACCACAACTTGTTCAGCTATTCCCCCAATTGATGGACACCCCCTCAATTTCCAATTCTTTTGCCACCACAGAAAGAGCTGCTATAAATATTTTTGTACATGTGGGTCCTTTCCCCATTTTTATGATCTCTCTGGGATACAGCCCTAGAAGTGCTATTGCTGGGTCAAAGGCTATGCACATTTTTACCACCCTTTGGGCATAGTTCCAAATTGCTCTCCAAAACAGCTGGATCACTTCACAACTCCAGCAATAATACATTAGTGTTCAAATTTTCCCATATCTTCTCCAACATTTATCATTTCTTGTTTTGTCATGCGGGCCAATCTGATAGGTGTGATGTGGTACCTCAAAGTTGTTTTGATTTGCATTTCTCTAATCAATAGTGATTTAGAGAATTCTTTCATATGATTGTAGATAGTTTGTACAAAAACTTTTCAATTTAATGTAACCAAAATTATCCATTTTGCATTTCATAATGTTTTCTATCACTTGTTAAGTCATAAATTCTTCTGTTCTCCAAAAATCTGACGTAAACTATTTCTTGCTCTCCCAGTTTGCTTGTAGTATCAGCCTTTAAAACTAAATTGTGTACCCATTTTGACTTTATTTTGGGATATGGTGTTAAGATGTTGGTCTTTGCCTAGTTTCTGCCATACTCTTTTCCAGTTTTCCCAGTAGTTCTTTGCATTTCTCTAATCAATAGTGATTTAGAGCATTTTTTCATATGACTATAGATGGCTTTAATTTCTTCATCTGAGAACAGCCTGTTCATATCCTTTGACCATTTATCAATTGGGGAATGACTTGTATTCTTTTTTTTTTTAGGCAATTGGGGCTAAGTCACTTGCCCAGGGTCACACAGCTAGTATGTGTCAAGTGTTTGGTCTGAGGCCGGATTTGAACTCAGGTCCTCCTGACTTCAGGGCCAGTGCTCTATCCACTGCACCACCTAGCTGCCCCCAATGACTTGTATTCTTATAAATTTAACTTAATTTATATATTTTAGAAATGAAGTCCTTATCAGAGAGACTGGTTGTAAAAATTCTTTCCCAATTTTCTACCTTCCTTCTAATCTTAGTTGCATTGGCTTTGTTTGTGCAAAAAGTTTTCAATTTAAGGTAATCAAAGTTATCCATTTTGCTTTTCATAATGTTCTCTATCTACTGTTTGGTCGTGAATTCTTCTGTTCTCCGTAAATCTGATAGGTAAACTATTCCTTGCTCTCCAAGTTTGCTTACAGTATTAGCCTTTATATCTAAATCATGAACCCATTTTGGCTTTATTTTGGTATATGGTGTGAGATTTTGATCAATGCCTAGTTTCTGCCATACTCTTTTCCAGTTTTCCCAGCAGTTTTTTTATGTGACTAAGAATCTCCATTTTGACTATAATGTGTGGACAAAGCCCCTCATCCACCTCCAATAACCCAGGTCTGCAATCTGAAGCTTTTCTGCTCTTTTGTGATATTCCTGTGACCACCAGATACGGGAAGGGCTGTAATTTTTGCTACAAATATGGGGACCTAACATTCCTGTGGTTAGTTAAGCTTCATTTACATGCCACAGGATGCTGCTGACTGGCTGTGTAATCTAAGTAGGCCTAAAAAGTATACACATCTGTACACTGGGAAGGGGAGGCAGGTGGTTTACTAGAGCACTAATAAATTTCTTTCCCTTTCATTTTGGCTACTCACTTTATTTGACCTCTGGTCTCTTTTGGGCAATCTGCTGGTGGATGAAATACTCCCAGAAAGTCAACTCCCTGTTTGAGAAATTCCCCAACATTGCCCAAAAGGAAATTTTGATTCAGTCAGACCTCTTGGAGATTGGAGTACTTTTTCATTAGGCTCTTCCCGTACTAGGCTGAATACTAGTGCCATTCAGTTGGAGTTTCCCTACCACCCTTCCTTCATCATTCATCATAGCTCATAAATCCTATGTGATGGTCTTTCATCTCTTCCATTTCTATGAATGCTCCCAAACCACGCAATCCAGAGGTACATGTGAGATAAACTCTAAACTCACATGGGCAATGGGACTAGCTCAAATATCTTTTTGATAGAGAGAAGAGCTGATCAGCTTTTTAGTGAGCAATCTGTACCATTTCTCTGTTTTGCTTTTCTCTGTCATAAAAGATTTGGATTTGGCCCAGCTTTGCTGACCAATATATTTAACTTGGCCTTCACTCACCGCCCCCCCCCCCCGTAACCTAGCACTAGAAATACCTCCACTCAGTTATCTCCCTGAATTCCATTCCCCCAATGGCTGGAAGACCCAGTTGTCTTCTCCAACCTTGGCCACAGCTGCTGCAACACTGTGATTGTTTGCCAGTCTTGTCAACCAACACAGCCTATCACAAATTTCCACACAAGACATAACATTCCCTGCCTGACTTAAAGCTGTATTGGCAGGCCCTATAACAATATAATTTTAACAGTCCAACATAGTTTCTCTTAAATGGTTTAGAAACTACTACAATTTAACATTCCAAAAGGTTTTTGTAGCCACTGTAAGTGGTAGATGTGGAAAAAACAGATATAAAACACTACATTTGTCTTGACATAAGAAAGTACAAATTATTAAACTAACGAGATAAATTAGGTTTTAGAATACATAATACCTTCTTAATTGTAAGTTGTATTGCAGATTGGACAGGTATTAGGTTTACTGTCACCAGCATTTTCCAAAGACCTATAAAACCCAGCCAACCACATATCAATATCAAAACTATAGGTACAGATATAGATAATATAGAAAATTTATTATTACTTGCCTTTGATTTAGTTTTAGAACCAAGTGAATCATTTGAATTTGCCAATACCATTTTTTCAACATCTGAAAGGAAAACAACATACATTTGGAAAATGACATTTGGAAACACTAACATTAGGATGATAAAACAAAGTCATGGACTTCCTAAATAAAAGATTATAAACACTGCACTCTTCTCCCAAATCATAACAATAAAATTTTATACAAGTTATGCTATTCAAGGTAGTTTTCATCCATTCAACAAATTCTCTTAGTACTTCTAAAATATCTACCTAAAAACAGGCCTAGAATTTGAGGAAGATCAAACTTGGAGACTAGCTGAAAATTATTTCTCTATACATGAAGAGATCAATATTTATCTTCTCCAACTGCCCCCAATTTCTAGACAGTCCCCATTTTTGATCAGTTCTTCTGAGATGGGTAATTCCTGAATCTTTTATGTATTTTCTGTATCTAGAGACACAGAATGGAACAAATCTGGATAATCTGGTAGCTTAAAAGAAAATTACTGGCATAAACTATGCTACACCTGCGATACATATGCTACAACTCAAGATGGCCATTAGCCGGAAGTTTTACTTCTTGGTACATGTAAGCCTTAAGAAGTCTGCATAATGCTGAGAAAAAAATATTGCTGTGGCCATTTATCTCTCCTATTTTATGTAATACTGATGCAATTCACTGAGTAATTTAGTGATGTGAACAAGCCATAACTACTTTTTAAAGCCAATATATTTGTCAGGTAATATATATATGTTTATAAAATGCTACTATTTTTGGATGAATGCTAATTTTAAATACTTAAATTTATAAAGTTCTTTAGGCAGTTCTTTTTAATTTTAATGAGTCTATTGGAAGGATGCCTATCAATGGAGCACCTTACTAATTTCTCACAAAGAATTTGAGTCAGACTGTTTTCTGAAACCCAGAGGGGAGAAAATATAACCTGAACTATGAATATCTAGGAGTAAAAGCTAGCTCCTTGCAACTGAATAGGAAATGTCTAGTTTCTTGTGCACAAATGAACTCCTCTGAAATAAGACTGCTTGAAGTGAACTATGCTTCACGCCTCACTGAAGATGAAAGAAAAAGTAACTTCACTTCTTCAATCAAATATATTCATATGTAGGCAGGATTCAGTTTCACATACACAATTATCACAGAGTAATAAAATATATTCCATCAAAACTCAAAGTACTTAGGGTACGATTTTTAATCTTGGGCTTTTCTCTTTAAAGGTATTTGAAAAATTTTAAGGCATGCATCAAAACTGCATCCTATTACAGATGGGGGGTGGACTGTGTGAAATGGTTTTAGACTCATCCTCTCTAAGATCAGACAGAAGGAATAAACTATAAAATCTTTTTTTAACTCTTTGTATTTGTGGAAACTATTTTCTACAGTTATAGGCATGTGAGACTATAGCAGCTATGTATATAATACAAAGATTTTTGAAACAAGTGAGATAAATGTTCTTAAATACATTCAACTAAGGCTTTTAAATGTAAGAAAGAAAGAAAGAAAGAAAGAAAGAAAGGAAGGAAGGAAGGAAGGAAGGAAGGAAGGAAGGAAGGAAGGAAGGAAGGAAGAAAGAAGAAAGAAAGAAGAAAGAAAGAAAGAAAGAAAGAAAGAAAGAAAGAAAGAAAGAAAGAAAGAAAGAAAGAGGAAGATTTTGGTTGAGAAATGCTATGCCAGCCTTAAGTTTAATGTCAGTGGTTAAAAAGTTTATACTGACATCCTGCAGTGTGGTTAAGTTGTTTTGTAAAAGGCTTCTTTAACACTGGGGAAGAAAAGAGAAAAGGGATTTATTGGGAAGAGAGAGTAATTTTTAAAAAGTAAAATGAGTTACACATGGTAACAGAAAAAAAGTTGGCAAAATGAATATTAAAAAATCAAGAATTCACATACTAAGAAGGAGATGCAACATGCTCAAAGCAAAATTTTCTTACTTCTCCAGGAAATGATGAAGTTAATTTTTTTAAAAATAATATAGATAAGTCATAAATCTGACACCATGAATGTTTGAGGAGAAAAGATGGAACGTTTTATTAAAGATTTCGGCAAAAGCAATCACCCAGAGAACGTGCACATAAGTAGGCTTTAAAGAGCCTACAAAGTTCTCTGGAATTTCTAGTGCTCATATACAGCTTCTGAACAAAGAACAAGTAAGCAGCAAATCTAAAAGCAAGATTCTAGAAATCTGTAGTTTGGTGATGGGAGCGGGATTTAGTAACAAATTAGACAAAACGTATCCCTAGCTCAAAGATACATGTTTGTTTATACAAATGGAGGAACACACTTAGATTCCAAGCTCCAAGGTTGGATGGAGGAGTTCACTTAGAGTTCAGGTTCCCAAGCTCCAAGGTTGGGCAGAGGAGTTCACTTAGAGTTTAGCTCCAACGTGTCAGAGACTACTTTGAACAGCACTGCCTATTTTGAAAGTGATTTTTTTTAATGGCTCTATACCTTTTCATACTCCAGCAAAATTTAAAAACAATTTTTTTTTACTCTTATTTAAGGGCAAATGATTCCAAGTAGTATAGCTAGATTAAAGTAGCAGAAAGGAAAAAGGTATAAGACAAAACATGGTGAAAAGCCATGAGGCTTTAAACTGATTGAACACAAGGGTATTAAACAAGGGTATTTCTATACTATATCCAGGTATCACTTTTGATAAGTAAATATTTGGAAAAATGTAGATCAAGTTGCATAGCTTAAACTGTTAATTTGGTTCTTTACAGAGTGATGCAGAGTGCATCATCTATTTAACTGAGCATGAATATTAATAATAGTGCTATTTAATAAATAAATGTGAAGGTTTTAATTTTTTTTAACCGTCTAAGTCTAAAATTAAGGAACTTTCTAGTTAGCTCAGGATACCTGTTGTCCTTGTTACTGGAGCTTTCAAAATACTATTTTCCTCAGAAATCAGCACAACATCAGCATTGTTACTAAAATGGTAAAAAAGAAAAAAGAAAACATATTGAACATGCAATTTCAGGCATCACCATGAAATGATTAGCATTTTTTCTAACTTAACTTTTCTCAGCATGCTTAATTTGATGATTGAAAAAAATATAATGGGCAAAAAAAAAAATCTACAAAATACCATGACTTGAAAACATGAGAAAAAATGGCTTTCAAAGAAAAGTCAGTGATTTTCAACCCTGGTTTTGCAACCATAGCTTTAGTTATTTCAAAGGCACATCATAAAATTCTTAAAATAAAAATCATCTAAAATTTGCATGAGTTTAAGATATAAAAATGTAGCATATACATAAATTTACCCCTTACACTCAGTCACTCTCCTTTCTTCATTTCTTCCACCCCCTCCACCCCCAAGGTGTTATCACTAGATCAGAGAGGGTATTTAGTCTTTGCTATTTTCTTTTTTTTCCTCTTCTGTTTTATTTTTAAATTTTCTTCTTTCTTTTCCTGTAGCTGTTGACTCCAAAGGAAGAAAAGTATTCTAATTATCACCTCTACGTAGATAATTCCCAAACCTACAATCTCCACTCCAACTTTTCCCCAGAGCTCCAGTCTCATATCTCCAACAGAAGGCTGGATAGCTCGACTTAAATGTACCACTGGAACTCAAAATCAACAAGTCTAAAACTCAACTCTTTCTTTCCCCAACACCCACCCTTTCCCCTAATTTCTCTGTGTAGATTCATGGCACAGCCATCCACAGTTACATAAGATAGAAGGATTATCCTCCCCCTCACGCCACACATCTAGTCATTTGACAAGTTATGTCATTTCTACTTCACCAATAGGTAACACATCTTTCCTTAACTTTCCATTCCCATTGCAAGTACCCTCATCTTTTCTTACCACAACTAATGTAAACCCCTCTCCCCCAAGGTGGTCTTCTTGGCTTCAGCCTAGTCTCTTTCTAAGCTAGTCTGAGTCATCTTTCTAACATAATGTGTTCTAATCATGTAATTCCCCTTTACTTAAAATCCTTCAGTAACTCCAGATTTCCTACCAAATAAAGTATAAATTTCTAATACTTGTATTCAAATGCTGCCACAGTTCCTCTTAAAGTATGCTTGATCCTGCCAAATCTAACTACTTTACAGTCCCTGCTATAATCCTGCCCTCTCAAATCTCGGTGCCTTTCCTCATATTGCCTTTGTACATGGAATAAATATTCTCTCCCCACCAAACTCCTGAAATCCCTATCTTCCTTCCAGGTCCAAATCATGTGCTACCTCTTCCACCCAGCTGTTTCTGGCACCACTCCTCCCCTCCATCTCATCCTAAAATGAACAAGATCATTCTCTCCTCAAATTTATCTTAACAGGTCCTTCCCCAGACACTTATACTTCTGTCTGTACCATATCATCTTTTACAGGTATCCTCTATCCCCTAACACTGGAAGGTCTTCAAGAGCAGAGTGTGCATCATACTGCTTTCTGTAACTCCTGCTAATAGCGTAGCACCTTGGTATATAAAGGGCATTTAACAAATCTTTTTTGAACTGATCTATTTTCATTTTAGGATGATTTTGCTGAACTATAAACACTTTTCAGTATAACTGATATGTGGAATATGTTAAAGGGTATCATTCATGTTTCTAAAGTAAGTTATGTCCCATAGCTATCCTAAAGCCAACATGTCCAAAAACTCATCATCTCCCCCACTCCCCACCCCAACTCTCCCCTCTTCCAAAATTCCCTATTATTGTTAAGTGGACCACCATCTTCCCAGTTCCCTAGGCATCATCTTCAAATCGTCTCTTGCACTCACCCCTTATATCCAATGTGTTGTCAAGTCCTATCAATTCTACCTTCTCAGCATCTCTTGTATACATCCCCTTTTCTCCTTTAACACTGCTACCACCCTTGCCACCTCACTACCGCAACAGCCAGCTGGTTGGTCTGTCTGCCACAAGTCTCTCTTCATTCCAGTTGATCCTCTGATAAAGTAACAAAGTGATCTTCTTAAAATAAAGGTCCTCTGAAGAGATGTCACTTCCCCACTCTGCTGCCCCATTCAATAAACTTCAAAGGCTCCTTATTACCTCTACAATCAAATACATGAAGGACTTTAGCAGCCAAAGAGAAGTCCTTCATAACCACTATTCTTCCTAACTTTCTAATCTTATCATGCTTTCCTCCTTAACACGAATTACAATCAAGTGACACTGGGCTCTTTGCAGCTCCTCATTCAAAAAATTCCATTTCCTGATTCCATATACTGGCTGTGCCCATGACTGGAATGCTATCCACTCTCATCTCTTCCTCCTGGTTTCCTTCAATCTCTGATTAAAAACAGCTTCTGCAAAAAGTCTTTCTTGATCTCCCTTAAATTTATCCTGTATGTTTTTATGTACATAGTTGTTTGCATGTTATCTCCTCCAGTAAAATGTGAGCTCCTTGAGGGAGGAACTGTTATTGATTTTCTTTGTATTCCTGGAGATTAGCATTGTGGAAAGGTCTTGATAAAGGCTTATTGACTGACTGAAAAGTTAGGAATGTAAGGATGTAAAGAACTATTCTTGCCTCCAAAATTAATGGGACATAGAGAAAATTACTAGAATTCCTTTTCTCTCCCTGCCATGACTTCTTCCCTCTCCCCTAACCCATGCTCACTGACTAAATGAATATCAATCAAAATAGGAGAGCCCTCTCATTTCCATTCCCCTTGCAAGTACCCTCATCTTTTCTTACCACAACTAATGTAAACTCCTCCCCCCCCAAGGGGGGGGGCTTCAGCCTAGTCACTTTCTAAGCTAGCCTGAGTCACAATGGGCTTCACAAAGCCCATTCAAAAACTACCTCTCACCACCCCGGCCCCCATGCTGGGATTTTCATCCATTCACCTTGAAGGACCTAGAAAAGAATGTAGAAGGATCCAGCCTTACTAAATTAGGATAATGCTCTTAACATGAGATCAATATTTAATAACCAAAAAGGACATGTACAAACTGATTGTAGGTACTCAAACTGAAAACAATGTCCTTCATCCCCATATTTCTAGAATAGAAATAGTTTGGCAAGTCTATGATGCAATCCATCTGAAAACAGAAGTATAATAAAGTTTCTGAGTTCTTAGAAATACACACGTATGTGTTGCATAGCATTTTTAGGAGGATTTGGTCATGAAATCAATAAACCAATGGGGTACTAAAACTCAAAACCATTAAGAATCACTGGAGCTACTAGAGTCATTCATTCAAAAGAATTTCCCAAACCTCCTAGTGCATGCTAACTGATTGGATCCCTTCATTAAAATGCAACTCCCTGCTCTTGTCAACAATTTTAGACCCCCAAGATGTGATAAGAGGCTGCAACTATTTCATGCATTAACTGGACATAAAATCAATCTATCCACTCTAATGGCAATGGAAAGAGCACCAGACTTAAGAGTCAGGCACAGTTGTGTTTTAATCCTGCCTCAAATACTGCTCTGGCAACTTAACCTCTCTGTACCTTAATTTCCTCCTCGGTAAAATGAGTAGGTTGGATTCAGCCTCTCAGGTCTCTTCTAGCTCAAAAATCCATGATTCTAAGTTGGAGAGATTAGGATACTATTTAATACATCTAGAAAATTTTCATTTTAGACCTTTTTTCTTTAAAAGTGTCATATCAGCTTATGAGTATATTTTTGCACACAAAAATTTCAGGTCTTTTCTTAAAATGTAAAACTCCAGCTCTACACTAAAAACGGAAGCAGCAGAATGAGAAAGTGTATCACCTAACTTCAGAAAATAGTACTGCAAAACAGCAACTATATTTCTTCTCACTGAAAAATGTATTCTGATTTCTATAAAGAACCATGACCTCCTATTTTCCCCTTTAACAGGAAAAGGATGCATTTACAATTCTACATCAATTTATATAGCTACATTTTTTTTTAATAAGTAGGGACACTTACCTTTCAGATACAACTTTGACACGATCTGAAGTCAAATTATTCTTTTGCTTTGCTTCTTGAGTAGACATTTCTGAAGGTCTGGATGATTTATTCTTCAAAGAAGTCAATTTCTTACTTGGGTTTTCCCTCTCAGCCCCCTGATTCTTATTCAATATGACAGTCTTTGAATTTATGACCTGGAGGTAAAGGGGAAGGGGAAACATAATTTCTTAAGGATGCAATTCAGATGCTACTTTTCAAGTAATTTTTTTGGGGACAGGTTTAGCAAATACCTAAGTACTAAGATAATGCTTGGGTGCCAGAATCTCTAAATTTTAAGGGGACTCTTAAGTGGTAACTTTATAGGATCTTTTAACTTTTGGATCCTAAAATTACACATGGAACTTTGGAAAAAGAGGGTTTAAATAGGAAGATAATATGAATTTGGGCAAAAGGTAAAAAGAATAAATACAAAGTTTAAAAAACATGACTTAAGCACTATTGCGATTTTTAATTATTCTTTTATTTACCTGAGGATTGAAAAAAGTGACTTTTATGAGGTTTTAAAAAACAGGCTTGAAGAAAAGCTTAAAATATTTTTGAACTTAAACTTCTGAACAATATTCTGGCTTATGTTCATCATACTTACATTTATTTGTACCCTTTCCTCTTCTGATATTTGCCATGCATACTAAGAGAATAAAAGAATGCCTACAAGCCAGGTACATTCAGGGTTTTATTTCTGGGACACAGAGTCACAGGAAAATCTGACAAGAGGAGGACAGAAAACAAAGCCTGAAAGTACTAAATGTCTTTTAGGCTTTCTGAGTTCCTTTAGTCTGATCTCATTTCTTTTAAAATGCTGGCATCATCTATATAACTGTTATAAATCATCTACCTGTAACTGATTGATTATAGTTTGAAGATCATACAGTACCTTACAATCCATATTTTGGGCTGGCATATTTGATTCTAATCCAATCCTCTTACTTGTTAATGCAGCTTTAATACATCTATCAAGTTTTGATATTTTTCTCTAACAAGAAAAAAAAAGGAAGAAAGAAAATAATTGTGTCAAAATGAAATACTGAATACAGCTTAAGTATCTTTTACTTATTTTTTTTTTTGCTAGAGGAAAGATAATCTACTTGTTGGAACTGTTTTCTGAAAACTAGAGCATATACTTATTATATAAATGAAATTACATCAGAAGATTTTGATGTGAGCTGATGGAGACATGTTACACGTAAGGTCAATTAGATGAGATATTCAGGAATGGAAGACAAAACCATCAAACTAAGTTTGATAAACCAGGTCCTAAAGAAATAATAGGGCTAAATTACCAATTAATGTTAAGTATACAAATGAAAGGAGAAGAGACCTTATAATGATTTTTTAAACCCTCAAGAACAGGTCAGATGAACTAGAAAATAAAAGCAAAATAATACTACTTTATTCTTTCCTCGTAAATGCTGCAAAACTGTCAAGGGCCAAAACATTATACTGATGTACACTTTGAATCAAAATGGAGACTACCAAGTATCACTGAATTAGCAGAGTTGACAGCTGTAACAACTTTATTTCCCCTAGGCCACATTTTTCTAGAATGTTTCTTGGTTAACATTAGATTTTACTCTATCTTTGACTTTTTTCCCTAATCTTATGGCTTGAGAGAATATCTTAGAATATATATATTTTTAAAAATCCAAGTGAGGAGACGATCAGTTCTGGGTTATGTTTCATCCTATTTTTTACATATTACAACTTTTTGTTGCAGGAGCCCAGAAAAATGAACATGAAGACAGTTATCACCACAAAAACTCCTGCCCTCATACTAAGGGACTTCATCTTTTATGTCAATGTTCCCTTTAATGAGGCTGACTTCTGCCCAACAACAATTAGAGCCTTGTCTAAATCTGCCCAGTAACAGCAGGCTCTGCCTGTTTACAAGGAAACCTTATCATAATGGCCAAAACTCTGTGTATGTGACTAACCTCTATGGTTTGTGACCATATCCTTGAATGGTGCAAGCTAAGTTCCCTACTTTTTGACCACATCCTTGAAGTGTACATTTCAAAATGTACCCAGCACACCTGCTTCCCCTTCCTTGTGGTTAACTGCCCACATAGGAACATACTCCATCCCTGGCTGAGTGCCCAAAACTTGTGTATAAAAGCAAACCCCTGTCTTTTCTCAAGTTGCTAGTACCATAAAGGACTAGCTCACCACTTTTGCATCAATAAAGCTCTCTTGACTAGGAAAATATTTGCCTCTTGATTCTTTCTGCACAACTTGACTCTGAACCTCACCTCAAATACTCTAACTTCTGAATTCCTCAATCAATTTATCTCCAATGACCTACTCCTTCCATTTCACTTCAGTTACATACAAGGATGACTCACACCTTCTTCATCTTGCTATCATTCCCAAGTATTCTAATTTCATGTTGAAGAACTCCAAAATTCCTTTATCTGACCAAAATCTTTTGTCATACCATCTCTCCCCATGCCTTACAATCCTCTAACCCTATTCTCAGTCCTCACAATCACTTCTAAGCCCTCCACCTTTCAGTAGTTTCTCAGGCCATTTTTGTTGCTTTGGTTTCATTCTCCTCCCAGTTCAACTCTACACTATCCTCTGTTCTCAAATGCCTTGCCTCCTTGTCTTCTTCCTGATCACACCTTGCCAAACTCCAAGCATGGGTTAATCGCATCATCTACTTCCCATACTCCTACTCATCTATTGCTAACAAGTTGAAAAAAAAAGTGATGACTGGGTCTACCCTACGTGTATTAGATCTTATCCCAACTGGTCCCTCACTGTAGCAAAGAAATCTTCTAACCTTCCCCTAAAAATTCTTTATCCAGCTCACTAAAGTTGTTCCAAACCTTCTCTTCTCTCTTCAAGCTTCCCCCAACAGCACAGCTGAGAATCTTGTCTCATTCTTCACCAAAAAAATTAAATCCATTACCCAAGAGCTCCTTCTTGACATTATCTCCAAGCATTTTCTCCCTCTCTCTAGTCTCAGATGAAGAGGTATTCCTTCTCTTTGTTAAAACCGACCCTTCTACATACACCACTGATCCCAGAACCTCCTACTTACTCTAGCAGATTTTCCTCACTATCATTCCTACAAATACACCCAAGCCCCACCCTCCAAACTTAAAAATATCTTCTCTAGTGCCTACCATCCTAGCTAGTCATCATACAGTCTTCTTCCTCCCCTTCTCAGCTAAACTCTTTGAAATAATTATCTATGTTCAGGTGCTTCCATGTCTTTTCTTCTCATTCTCTTATAAACCCCCTGGAATCTGGTTTCTGACCTCATCATTCAACTGATACTGTTCTCTCCAAAGTCATAAATGATCTCTTAACTATTAAATCTAATGACCCCTTCTTAGTCCTCATTCTTCTTGACCTCTCTGTAACAGCTGGTATTGCTAATCACTGCCAACCTCCTCTCTGAATTTTCACGATACTGCTTTTTCTTGGGTTTCCCCCTTGTCTGACCTCTCCTTAGACTCTTTTGCTTTTATTCATGTCATGAATTCACTAACCATGAATACCACAAGGCTCTCTGGTCCCTCTTTTCTCTCTACATTCTCTCACTTATTGATATCATCAAGTCCTATGGGCTCTATTATCACCAACTATCCTATTATCACCAGGGTTGCAAAAAATTTGGCAACAGTAAAAGATTTCTGAATAAGCGATAACCAAAAATTAATTAAAAATCAGACATGTAATGAATCTGAGGTGTTTCTGGCAGCGCTTGCCTGTGTTGCATTGTAGAACTTCACTACAGCCTTGGTTCTGAATACACAGCATGTGTACTTTGCACTGCACATGCCATCATGCCATGGAATGCCAACAAATACTGCTGAAATGTGAAAAGGGGTTGCGAGTGGAAAAAGTTTAAGAAGCCCTGATCTAGGTTAGCAACCTTGTTTCATCCTCAACTTCTTATTCTTATTCACCCCATATATACAGTCAGTTGCCAAATCCTGTTTCTACCTCCACAATATTTCTCAAATACATCTATTCCTTTGTATTCCCACAGGCATCACTCTAGTTCAGGCCCTCATCACCTCTCTCCTGGACTACTGCAAAAGCCTCCAAACGGGTCTCTCTTCTTCACACTTCTCCCCACTCCAATCTAGCCACCACTCAAATACCAAGGTGATTTTGCTAAAGCATAGGTTTGACCATGTCACTCCTCAATACCTTCAATAAACTCTAGTTGTTCCTTACTGCATCTGGTATTAAAATACAAACTCTTCTATTTGGCATTTACAACTATTCACAGCTGAGCTTCTTCCTGTCCTTCTGGTCTTAAGTATTACTTCGCTTCACAAACACTATGGTTTTTACTGCTCTCTTACCATTCCTTAAACACAATACTCTACTTCCCATCTCTGTGCTTTGCAATGGCAATCTTCCATGCTTGGAGTATTTCCTTTAAGATGAACTCAAACACTACCTACTGAAGGAGGCCTGTCCCAGTCCCCTGAGCTGCTGATGCCTACCTCTCCAATGCTCTTTTCCATCTACTTTGTATGCATCTTCTGTGTAAATATTTGGGGATATGTTGTCTCTCTCATTAGAAATGTAAACTCCTTAAAGGCACAGATTTTTTTTTCTTTGCACTCCCTGTGCTTCATACAAGTGCCTTGATAAATGTGTGTTGCTGTACTGATAATTCAACATCAAGACCTACTACTCAAACAGACTAGATAAGATTCACTAAAACATTTAAAATGAGCTCACAATATCATTTTTCACAGAAGCCAACTTACAAGAAGTTCGATAGCTATTGCTTCGTGTTTTTTTCTGCATTGGGTCTTGTCGACTCGCTCATTTAGTTCCTTCAGCTTATGGTCAAATATTGTGTAATTTACAACACAGACTTCCTGCTGAATCAAGCATTTAACCTAGAAACAAAAAATAAAAATCCTACATTTCAAGTTAAAAGCTCATATGCCTTGAGGATTATTTTCTACTTCTTGAAACAAAAACATGCAAGCTTCCCCTAACTCCTCAAATTTACTCTCTTCTGAGAGTCATAATAAAAAAATCGCCACATCATTTTTCTCCTTCTAAATGACGAGCATTCATTAGGGTATATATTCAATTTTCATCAAGTTTCTGAGCCAAATTTTAGTTTGGACTTATTAAAATTCAAGATGTACTATTTAATACTTAATAAAAATTCAATGCAATTTCATTAAGTTAACCTGAACTTAGTTACCTATATTCACAGATAAATCTTTCTTAATGCATTATTAAGAGAACTGACCCACTATAATTTTAATAAGTTAAAATTTATGTAATGCCTCATTTATTCAGAAACATTAGGGAATGAAGTAATATACCTAAGTAAATCTTGACCCCTTACCAATATTTTTAAGTATCCCTTTAAAAATAAAATGATAGGACATATATTTAAAATAAAAAAGCAGCTTTATCTGCAATGGAGAAATAAAAAATGCTACCCTCATAAATACAGGGGTAAGGCAAAACCCTCTCAAATTTCCCCAATATTTAACATTATTTTGTAAATGTTCACGATAGAAAAAGAAATTCACAATAGAAAAAGAAATCACTGGCAGTGAAAAGAAAAAAATTATTGTTATTTACAAATGACATGTTATCATTTACTTGAAAAGTCCCAAGAAATAAGTAAGGAAATTATGTCAATTAATAGTTCTAATAAAGTATTAAAATTAAAATATAAAATTAACCCATAAAACCATTAGCATTTCTATATAACAATACTCTAAAACAGGATGAAATGATAGAAAAACTACATTCAAAATTACTACAAAAATACATCAAATATTTAAGGGTCGGTCTACCAAAACTATGTGCTAGGTACCGTGCTTAAGCAAAAATGATACAAAGAAAGGCAAAAACAGTCCCTGTCCTCAAGGAACATACATTCAAATGGAGGAGACAATATGTAAATAACTAAGAATATAAAAAAGAGATACAGAGTAGATGGAAGTAAAATCTTAGAGGGGAAAGAATTTAACAGCTTTGATGACTGAGAAAGACCTGCAGAAGACGGGAGTTGAGCTGAGACTTGAAGGAAGCCAGAGAAACTAAAAGATGGAAGTAAAGGGGCAGCCCATTCCAAGCATGGGGAATAACCAGGACAACGGCTGAGAGATAGGAGATGGTGTATAATGTTCAAGGAATTGCAAGTAGGACAGCACAGCTGAATCAAAGGGTTTGTGGAGGGGAGTAAAATGTAAGAAGATGGGAAAAGGGGGAAGGAACCAGAGTATGAAAACCTTTAAATGCCAAACACAGCACTTTATATTCGATCTTGGAGTGTGTAATAGGGAGCCACTGGAGCTTATTGAGCAGCAGTTTTTTATTATATATATACATATACATATATATACATATATATGTATACACACACGTGTATATGTACGTATGTATACATATTTTAAATCTTGGCAAAGTAGAGGGCAGATTAAAGTGGAGAGAGGCTTGAAGGTGATAAACCAGTTAGAAGGCTACTGTAATAGTCCAGAAAGGTGATGAGGCTTTGAAACTACAGTTGTGGTTTTGAGTGGAAAGGAGATATATGACAGAAGTTGTAAAGGTACAAATGACAAGATTTGGCATAAGATTGGTTGTGTGAGGTGAATGAGGACTCAAGGATGATACCAAGATTTATGGCCTGGGTGACAAGAAGGATGGTGGTGCTCTGGACAATAACAGGAAAGGTGGAAAGAAAGAAAGGCTCAAGGAAGGGAGGAGTGATAATGAGTACTGTTTTGGAAATGTAGAATTTGAGATGCCTGAGTACTTACAATTTGACGTGTCCAAAAGGCAGGCTAGGACTGGATATGTAGGTTTGGGAGTCATTTGCACAAAGATGATAACTGAATCCATGGGAGCTGATGAGACCACCATGCAAGACAACAGAGGGAGAGGAAGGCCCAGGACAGTCTTGGGGGACATGGTTAGTGGACTGGTCACAGATGATGAACCAGCAAAGGTGATTAAGAAAGAATGATTGGACAGATATAAATTGTAGTGATCAGTATCAGGAAAAGCTAATGAGGAAAAAATGTCAAACATTACTGGAAGATCAAGAAGGATGAGGATTGAGAAAAGGCCAGTATATTTGGCACAAAGAGCTCTCAAAATGAGAATTTTGAACTATTAACCACTATACAAAACAACATACCATTACTAATAAGAAAAATGCAAGCTAATATACAGATTTCATTTCATATTAAGCCAGTTGGCAAAGATGACAAAAAGATGGATTGTCAATGTGAGCAATGTGTAGAATACTGTATACTATTTAATGTGGTCAAAGTATCGCTTGGTTTTACTGAACTGTTCACAGAATCATGAATCTACAGCTGGAACACTGCTCAGAGGCTACCTAGCACAATCTCCTAATTTTTCTGAAGCCCACGGAGATTAAGTGATTTTCCCAAGATTATTTTGAAATTTTTTTTTGTTACAACAGAACATTTATTGAATTATGGGTGAGTGCAGGATTTAACTGGGAACAAATGTGAAATAAAAATGAAAGACTTTTTAAAAAAAGTGCTTGAGGCACAAAAAAACAAAAAAAAAGTTGCTGTCCAGATTGTCTTCTTAAAGCCAACTTCAAAAATAAAATGAATATAAGTTATTAAGTAAACACAATTATAAAACACTCCATTTCTCCATTTTTTCCTAGAGAAATGAAAAGACTTAAATAATTACAAGGATATTCATTCCCCTTGGTTGGACCATGCCATTAAAATTAGGATGATGATACCACCTAAAATAAAATAATTTACAGATGTAATCCTATATCAAACTACAAAAAGGTTACTTGAAAAAACTGAAAAACAAAACACTACAATGCATTTGGAGAAACAATAGATTCTCAAGGACAATAAATCTCAAGGAAAACAATTTCATAAAGTAGGAATAAAGAAGTATACAACTTCCAGAGTTCAAACTACATTAAAAATCAATATATGTTAAAATTACTTGGTACTTAAAAAAAAAAAAAGAGCAGTCTCGATAAGAGATATCAGACATACATACAGCCTGAGGCCTGAAATACTCCTGAGTGCAGAAGAAGGCAATTAAAATGTAACTGAGAAATACTTAACAAAACAAATAAAAATGCAATTAAACACAGTGTTAATATGTTATTTTCAAAGTCAATATGTGCTGCAGGGATCCTCATGCATGTTTATTTGCCTGTGTTTTTATTTCAGTTTGACACTATTGGTCTAGACAATCAAGAATCAAATAAGTAGCTGAGCTCAGTTGCCCCACGTCTGAAGAGTCCAAGAAGATAAACTGGGAGAGTGGGAAGAGGAAGCAAGGGGGAAAACCCATTTATCAAGAACTGGCAGGGGGAAAAAAGATTTGTAGTAGTATCTTACATCACCTGTCAAGCTAAGTTCCAAATGGATACTCCAATATAACTAGAAAAGGTTATTTTACAAAGGGGCAGCTAGGTAGTACAGTAGATGAGTGTTGGGCCTGGAGTCAAGAAGACTCATATTGAAGTTCAAATCTGACCTCAGACACTTACTAGCTGTGTGACCCTCAATATGTCACAACCCCATTTCCCTTAGTTCCTCATCTGTAAAATGACCTGGAGAAGGCAATGGCAAACCACTCCAGCATCTTTGACAGTAAAACCCCAAACGTGGTCATGATGAATGGGACACGACTAAAACAACTGAATAACAACTTCACAAAAAATTAAAGAATGGAAAGCATTACCTTTCAGGGCTACAGCCAAGTGAAAATTGCTAAATCAAACAACAAAGGCAATTATAAAAAAAACCTCCACATTTTCTTTTTTTGTTTGTTTTTGGCTAGACAATGGAGTTAAGTGACTTGCCCAGGGTCACACAGCTAGTAAGTGTTATGTGTCTGAGGCCGGATTTGAACTCAGGTCCTCCTGAATCCAGGGCCGGTGCTCTATCTACTGCGCCACCAAGCTGCCCCCACATTTTCAACTATACAAAATTAAACAGCTTTTGAACAAACAAAGTCCATGCAGCTAGAATAAAGGAAACTATGATCTAGGAAAAAAAAATCTTTGCAATGAATATTTATTTGTCTGCTATCAAATATACATCTATAATACATACATATATATATACACACACATGCAGAATTAACACAAATATGTAATCCTACGTAGGCAAAGGAAAGTAACAATTGTGAAAAGAAAGACTACAAACTACCAGCAGCTATATGAAAAAGTGAGAGAAATAAAAATGAACCGTTTCCTCATACCAGCTGCCAATCAGTAAGCATTTGCTAAGCATCTATTATACGCCAGACTCTACTAGATGTGACATAAATACAAAGGATGAAATAATCCCCATTTTCAAGGAACAAACATTTTAATGAGGAAGACAGATACATAAATATGTGTACATATAGAATAAACACACAAATTCAAAATAGTTAAAATACAAGGTGGTCTGGGGAGGAAAGCACTAGTAGTCGGGGAATTGGATAGGTGTGAAGTAAGTAGTACCTCAAAGTTGTTTTAATTTGCATTTCCCTAATCAATAGTGATTTAGAGTATTTTTTCATATGACTATAGATAACTGATTTCTTTGCCTGTAACCTCCACGTTTATAGCCTTTGACCATTTATCAATTGGGTAATGACTTGTATTCTTAGAAATTTGACTCAGTTCTCTACATATTCGATAAATTAGGCCTTTATTAGAGATATTTGCTGTAAAAATTATTTCCCAGCTTTCTGCTTTCCTTCTAATCTTGAATGTATTGGTTTTGTTTGTGGAAATACTTTTTAACTTAATATAATCAAAATTTTCCATTTCACATCTTGTAATGCTTTCTATCTCTTCTCTGGTCAAAAATTTTTCTCTCATCCATAGATCTGACAGGTAAATTATTCCAGCTTCCTTAAT